GGTGATGCTGTCCGCCGACCCCCCCGCGGGATTCCTGTTTTTAGGGCTCCGCGGTGACCCCCTCAGGATGAGGGTTTACACCTCGGCGTAGCCATGGCCGAGCCACTTCGGTATTACTAGGGGTGGGTGTGGGGAACCCTCAAACTCCCCACCCCAATGGCTGCCCCATTCCCGATATCCCCCCCCAAATCCCCTGCTTTGATCCCAAAAGGTGAGGGAGGGTTAATGGGGAAGGTGGGTGACGCTCAGGGTTGGCCCTGTGGCTGTTTAGTCCTTGTCTAGACTGGGAATATCTCCTGGATCCAGGGATAAACGGGAGGTGGAGCGTCAGGACGGATAATTCATGGTTGAAGCTGTGAACGTGCCCTGCCGCAGGGCTTCAGCGAGGAGCTGGGGTGCACCAGAGGTGCACGTCCTCCCCTCCAGCCTAAATACCTCCTTCTCCCTGCCCCAAAGCAGCTCCATCATCACTGGGGGAGGAGGAGGAACGGCAGCTCCCGGCGCTGGAATTTGTTGTAGGGCCAAATGTGAGTTACCAATGAATATTTATTTGGGGAGGGGGAAAGGAAGCAGATGTATATACATGTACATTCAGTCACGTACGTTTCCTCCCAGAAAAAGGCCCCGTGAACGTCTATCAGATGAGAAGGTCTCTGGATTATTATTATTATTATTATTATTTAAAAGCTGGGGTTGTGCGCCAAAGCTCTCGCTGTAAAGGGCAAGCGGCGACGGGTCCTCGCTGGCCTCGGATGCAGCGAGACAAGAAGACGGGGACATGGTTGGTGGCAGCCACGTGACAACGTCCCTTGGGACCCCTGAAGAACGTTGGACTCGATCTCTTCTCTCCCCAGGCACAAGGGGCCAAGCGTCCAAACCTCAAACCGGCTTCTGAGATCTCCTATAAAACCGTGCTGGGGTATTTAAGGCCAAATTTTTGGCCCCGATCCTTCTTCCTCAGCCTCCCATCTCATCGACAGGCTGGGGAGTGGTTTTGTGATGTCCGGAGGCCCCGGACGAGATCTCCCGGCGCTGGCAGATGCCGGGAGGAGGAGGAGGCGAAGCGGTGTCGTACTTGGTGATTGTATTAGCAAGGAGAAAACATGCACGGTAGCGATTTAGTGTTCCTGCCTCGCCACCTCCGCGCCCCTACCCTGTTCTAAAATGAACAAGTCCTCGGTCCCGCTCCCCGCCGCGATGGGGGGGATGCTCCCCCCCCCAGCCCACCCCGCTCCACCCCTCTCCCTCGCTACCCGTGGGATATTGTTCCGTGAATGGCAAATTATTTTGCCCCGTGGCAGCTGGAGGAGGAGGAGGAGGGCGCAGGCGCGCCTGCACAAGGAAAGTGGCCAAGCTCAGCCTCGCCCCCAGTGTGGTGAAGCGTCCGGTTGCTCCCCAAAACGCGCTGGCTGTCCCCGACTCGGTGGAGAGCGAGTGCGGGGTGCAGGGGTCCACGCCTGCAGGCACGCTCCCGGTGGGGACCGAGCGATGCCAGGAGGGTTTGGGGTGCCAGTGGGCTGCGGGGCAGCCGGCTACAGGCCCTGCTCTCCAAAAACGGGTCCCCGTCAGCCGTCCTTCCCCCCCCAGCCAGGGTTAACACCAAGGGTCCCGCTCCGCTCGCCCGCGGCAGAGGCTGTCGCTGCGCTGCCAGGCGCTGTCGATGAGGCTCTGAGCGTCTTCGCATTTCTTCCTGATGGCGGCGTCCAGAATGGCCTTGTGCAGGAGATCGACCTGAAACACACGTGCGGGGCAGTCGGGGGGTGGGGAACGAACAACAGACGCTTCTCCCCCTCGTTGTAAAACCACCTCAAAACCAGAGGGGAAATCCACCCGTGGCCATAAACACGGGTGATGGAGGGGGACGGGGCTGACCCCAGGTTCCTCCCCACTCCCCTGGCCAGCCCTGGATGCTCACGCTTTGCCACGCCAGGGGCCTCGGGCTCCAAATCCCACATGCCGTCGTCATACGGACACGGAGGAGCTCTCCTGTCCTTCGTGGGAATGCTGGGTTCACCCCGCAGGAAAAAATCTCACCCACGCCGTCCTTGGAGGGCCCCGTTCACCCTTCCTCGCCGGAGAAAGGGCGCGACGCAGCCTCGCACTCTCACCTGGTAGATGTTCCTCCACGCGGCGTTCAGCGCCGAGAGGAACCTCTCCAGTTCTGTAGTGCAACTAAAATAGAGGACCCAGGGGGGCAGGAACTGCTTGCTGTCCTGAGCAAACTCCTAAACACCAAGAGAGGCCGGGGGTTACCACCCAGTAACCACCCGTTACCGCCCGGCTGGTCCCGGAGCACCACGCTCACCAGGATACAGTACTCCTTGCCGGCCTCTGTGGAGATGGCGGCGATGTCCGTCAGCTCCACGGTGCCCAGCGAGCGGAAGAAGCTGGTCTGGCAGTCCTCGTGGCAGGTGAAAGCCTTCTCGTCCGTCAGCACGAGGCAGCAGGGGACACAAGGCGTAGGGGCAACACCTTGGGGGATCACCTGCACA